GAAGAAGAAGAAGAAGAAGAAGAAGAAGAAGAAGAAGAAGAAGACGAAAAGACGAAGAAGACGAAGAAGAAGAAGAAGAAGAAGAAGAAGAAGAAGAAGAAGAAGGTGGTGGACTTACCTTCGCGGCTATTGGGGCTGCCACAAAGCGGGCTGGTGGGGCGAAGCAGCTGCACACAGAAGTTGATGGCGGGCTGGAGACGGGGCGCTGGTACTGGTCGCGTGGTGGCAGCACACGACGTCGATGTGCATGCTGAATGGCACGACGTCAATGTTGTGTGATGTTGCAGTAGCATGGGGCAGGCGGGGCGGAGGGGGGGAGGCAGCCCAAAACCACGCTGCGATTCACATTTCAAAACGCGGCCGATTTCAGCCGCAGATCCACAGATCTATGGTCGACATCGACCGCGTTTTCAAATTTGAAAACGAGGGCCACCCGGACCCCCTTTTTTTTTGGAAACGCGCCGCCGATCTCCACTGTCGATCTGCGCCGATCAGCGGCGGAGATTGGCCGCGCGTTCTTAAATGAAAACGGGGTCCGGTAGGGCCCGTTTTTTTTTTTCACTTGTGGAGGCGGAGATTGGCCGCGCGTTCTCAAACGAAAACGGGGTCCGGTAGGGCCCGATTTTTTTTTATACTTGTGGCGACGGCCTCCCAGAGGCTGGGCGGGGACAGGGACACCCGAAAATCCCCCGTACCACCCCCCAAAAGGAGTGCACCAAATCGAACCGGGGGCCTGCCGGGCCAGTGAACCGCCCAGTTGGACCGGTAGGCTCCCGGTCGGTCGAAGGTCCCCCGGTCCACCCGGGGACCAGCACTGGTTGACGGGCTTGACATGGTCATTCACAATGCAACCGCATGGAGTAACAGGGAGGCGGGGCGTCCTACCAATCTCTTCTGGTTGATGCACTTTGCGTAGGGCTATACTAGCACCGGCTGTGGGGAGGAGGAGTGGCTCCTTCTATAGAAAAGGCAGGGGCTGAGTTTGGTCTGGACAGCGCTTGGGAAGCTGGACAAGGGGACTGCGGGAGCGGAGCGGTGTGTGATGGTCTGCAGTGATTGGTGACTTCAGGTGAAGTTCAAGGTGGTGTCACGTAGCAACGGGAGCTTTGAGTGCAGCGGTTTTTCCAAATTTAACCCTAAGTACTACTCCGATAGATGATTTGATGTATATTGATGTCTGATTGGTGGTATTGCTTCATTTTCTTTTGTAAATCAAAACCTAGTCTATTTTCTGATATCTTCCTGGATGGTGAACTGAATGTTGCCGATCTCAACATTCCACGGACGATCTGTAAATCTGATTCTTGTCTGATTCTCGATTCATAATTCTCTTTGTCATAGTTTGATGGTCGAAGTTTACAATCGACTACTTTGTTTTGTACTCATAGAATCATCTAAATTAGTCTTCAGATTACACATCTGGTAAATTTTCTGAGCGACTTTCTGTATCCCTGGATTTGAAAATCAGAGCCATAAGACTCGTAAGTCTATTTGGACACGAAAATTAATCTCCTGATCTTGTTTTCCAAAATTCATCCGCACAATTTGATGTTTTGTGCTTCTGCTGTCAAAATCTGCGATCTCAAATAGTAGAATCCTATGTTTTATCTAAGTTTTGCTTTTCCTGAAACAATTTCCGTGCATGGATGATGATCTTTTTTTTTTTTTTTTTTTTTTTTTTTTTTTTTTTAACAAATAGCATGTTTCATTATATACAGAGCAAAAGGAGGCGGGGAATCCCTCCACATCTCAACCCGGATGACTGGGGCCATTACCCAGATTGCAGGGTAGTTCCTGTGCTCCTGTCTTCTATCTGTTCACATGCTATTCGTAAAAAAGACACAGCTGGATTAACAACCAACAATTGGTAATAAAGGGAAAAAGTCTATCTAACTCCCCACTTACCCTTTGAATAGCCACTAAGCCCTCCTCTGTCTAACTTCTCCTTGCCTCATTCTTTCTTCCTGGTCCTTGCCTTAAACCCTAAACCCTATTGTTGCTACTCCTCATTCCCTTTGCTACGGCCTTCTCATCCTAATCAAGTTGAAAACCCAAAATTCGTACGTGCCGGAATTTCGCCCTGCAGAGTTGTATTCTAGTACCTTGTTTTTGTTTCGCCATCATATCCACGAGTTTAAGGTTGGCCGATGCCAGAAAGACGCCGGCCGGAGCTGGGGTTTGGTTGCGCTGCCCTGTAACCTGAGTTATGTGGGGTTAGGCCTGGTAGAGAAATCTAGGGAACTGTCAAGGGTGGAAGGCAGTCCAGTGGCTAACCGCGAGCTGCTACTAAGACGACGCGTGTCGGAGCTGGGGTGGGTCGCGCCGCCCTGTAACCCAGCGGTTGGGGGCATGAGGCCTAGTAGAGCTTGGTATCTAGGATAGGAGGGTTGAGGCAGCTGTAGGCTGGTCGGTTGAATAGCACTGGGGTAACGCGGTTTTTATTATATCGGCTTCCAAATTATCCTAATTGGTTCTTAATTTTCACAAACAATTTTCTTGTTCTCGGTTGCTTTTGGCAGTCTTGAGAATGCTTTAGGATTCTGGGTACTTCTTGCAACTCACTTTAGGCTTCTTTGATGCTGTTACATTCATGGATCTGCAGTTTTTCGATGCCAGAACAACGCTGGCCGGTGCTGGGGGGTTGCTCTGTAACCTGTTGATAGCAGGAGCGTGAGGCGTGGTAGAGAGATCTGGGGATGCCTTGGGGCCGTTCCAAGGGAAAACCAAGGGTTGCTGTCGGGACGACGCTGGCCGGAGCTGGGGTGAGTCGTGTTGCGCTGTAACCTAGCAGGGTGGGGGCATGAGGCCTGGGAAAGATCGGCAAGGAATCAGGCAGTGTTGGGGAATTTTAGAGGGTTTTGTTAGGGATTCCAGGGTTTCTTAGCATTTGAAGGACTTCTGTGGCTTTCCTTTCCAACGTAGTAATTGCTGCTCGAGTAGCCTAGCAATAGGTCAGCAGTTATCATGTTTTTCCTAAATTTTCCTGAACTCATTTAATAGTTCTCAGATTGTTCTTAGCCGAAGCCAGGTAATGCCCCTGGTATTTCAAATGACTTGTATAATTCTATATGGGACGCTGGGCCTGGTTCCCAGCACGTGCTGCTCCCCATGAATAGACTGGAACATTTGTTTCAAAAAAAGAAGAAAAAGAAAAAAAGAGAGAGAGCCTAAGGAGCTGTCTTCATCAGTTCTTGCATGAACCACCGATCCTCTTTGGGATCCAGGCGATGTCTGAAGGACACCCTGTACTGCATCCACGGCTTGGGAAGCCTTCCTCTACCTGCCGGCTTAGGAACAGGCCTCACCCGATGCTCGATGATCTGATCGACGCCCATGCAGCCATACATTGTTGGGGCCAGCATTGGTCTCTGAGAGGGACACTTGTCAGTTTCAGAGAAAGGTAGGAGCTTTGAGGTGTGCAAGACTGGGTATGTGTGTGCGCAAGTGACGGGGAGACGTATAAAGGGCCATCAAGATCAGATCCTACAATGTCTAGAATTTTCCATGGCCTGAAGTACTGCGGTGTCAGTTTTCATGAGACATTCTCTTCCGGGGTGAACTCGGAAGACTTAATCCAAACTCTCTCTCCGATCTCAAACTTTGACGCCCATCTGTGTTTGTTCTCAGAAGCTACCATGGCATTCTTAGACTTCTGAATCTGCTCAACCGTCTTCTGCAGAATTGATTTGTACGGTGTCAAGCACACTCTATGATTCCTGGTGCTGCAGCAGGTTGAGAGTCAGGCAGTAGAAAGTCCAAAGGCGTTCTGGGGTTTACATCCTAAGTGCAGCTGATTGGGAGACCGGCCTGTAGCACTATGCACTGCGTTGTTGTACAGACTGGCCATGAGAGGTAACTTCTCATCCGAGTCATTCTGGCTAGGCTTGATATAGTACCTAAGCAGTTGCTGTATTACCTGGTTCATCCGTTCAGTCTGTCCATTAGTCTCTGGATGGGTTTCAAATCCCGTTCGAAGTTCAGATCCCATCTGTTGAGCTGTTCCCTGCCACAACTCACTTGTAAAGCACACATTTCAGTCACAATAGACTTAGGCAGTCTAAAGTCCCCAAAACTAACCTGGTACTCAGCAAATTGTCAGATCGCTGGGTTAAGGACTAACCTGGTAATCAGCTAATTGTCAGATCACTGGGTTAAGGACTAACCTGGTAATCAGCAAATTGTCAGATCACTGGGTTAAGGACTAACCTGGTAATCAGCAAATGGTCAGGCATTACTTAGAAAACCGATCAACTATCATGAACCTCTGCCTGTGTTCCCACTCTTGCTGGTCACGAGGGTGTCCATGAAATCCATGGACATCCCTCTCCCGGGTAAGAGGGAATAGGCAATATGGCTTTATTAAGCCAAGATGCCTGAGTCCTAGGTTTGTTGCGCTGCCAAACCTGGCAAGTCTCTACATATTTCTTGGAGTCCTCTAACATCGTGGGCCACCAGAACCGCTGCAACAGATTAGCATAGGTCTTTTTAAACCGAAAATGACCTGCAAGGGTGCAACACATTAGCAGGCAGAGATAAACGGACAAGGCGTACGACAAATAAGTAACATCTCCACCAAGAGACAGGGAAGATGAGAAAAGAGAGACCAAAGAAGAGACCTTACGTCCGAGTGAGCTACCATTGTGTCACGCACACGCACAGCCACACTCTGTGTGTGTGTGTGTGAGAGAGAGAGAGAGAGAGAGAGAGAGAGAGAGAGAGAGAGAGAGAGAGAGAGAGAGAGAGAGAGAGAGNGAGAGAGAGAGAGAGAGAGAGAGAGAGAGAGAGAGAGAGAGAGAGAGAGAGAGAGAGAGAGAGAGAGAGAGGCTCTTACATGGAATGGTAGTAGCATTTCCAGCAATCGATATCTCCATAGAAGGCGTACAGAGGGCTCCGCCGAGCCATAAGCCATCAGGGTATTTAGCTCCAACATCGCTCTTGACTGCTCTCGCCAATAAAAACATGGAGGAAAATCAGTCTACAACATGAGTAGGCTAAGCACACATGACGCCTGTAAATGGGCAGTTCATAACTAAGGAAATTCAATGTTCATCCATGCGATCTACATGGCAATACATGCACTCACCACGGCATGGCAAAATTCAAGGAAGAAAGTGCAGAGAAATGCAGAAAAAGGCCCGTAGAGCCAAGAACAACAAACACACAAATGGTACACTCGAATTGTATTGTTTAAGTGGACCATCCACTCGTTTACAAAAGATTTTAATTTCACAATTACTAAGTCACTGGTTACTCAAAATCATGGCTATTCTGTTGAGTTTTCCTGTTTTACAATTGCTATATCATTTTCAATATTCAACAGTCAATTGTTTGACTATAGTAGTAGGAAGTCTAGTTTTTACTCCTTCTCACCACCACTCTGGAAAAGGTCCTCCTTCCTTGTGAACTTTGTGCAGTTTTTAATTCTTACAGTGCAACTGAAGTTTCTCATCATCCAAGGACCGCAACCAGGCATCACAAAGATCACCATAACCTCTCCCCAGTGCCTTGCCAACCAAATATGGCCCGCACAGGGCGAGCTAGTAGCAACACCAAACAAGTCTGTCTCAATTCTTAGAGAGCAACTGAAGTTTCTAATCATCCAAGGACCACAACCAAGCGTCTACCACTGGTAGATACTGACCTGGTGTGTGGCCAAGGAGAGCGGAGAGTGCTCAGGGTAGGTCAGGGAAGGAGGAGAGCAGAAGTGGAAACTGGCAGATACCTGTTGTGCCCTAAGAGGGCCTATACAATCAGACAATTCAGCGGCATCTGGCAAGAGGAGAGAGGAGAAAGTGTGAGAGGTAGTAGGCTAGTGGGCGTAGTTTGAGTAGGAGAGTGGTATAGGCGGACACATCATAGATAGGGCTGGTACTCTGTTGTTGGACGCAAGCAGAGGCCTTTCATTATCAAGAAACATCAGTGCTCCATGTGTTCTTCGTTTTGGTATGCTCTTGGCTTTATTGTTCTGCTGTCAACCCCGCTTACTGATGATAGGTCTCCAATGAACTCTTGCATCTCAATTTTTTGTGTTCTCGTCTGCTGGTTCTTTGCGTCTGGTATCCGAGTGGGTTCTCTGACACTGGCAGTCTCAGTTGCAAGTTAGGTCTTGTGGTGCCACGTGGAGTCTGCAGGCAGTGCTGTTGACTTCTACACTGGCTGGTACACCCATCAGCTGGGTAGACCGCAGATGGGAGGAAGGTTCATGGAATATGTTGCAATGTTGTGATAGCATACTGGTGCTTGCCATTGCTTGAGGCGGTTCTGCATTGTATTGGCGCTTGCCATTGTATTGGGGTCGCAATGTTGTGACAGCATACTGGTGCTTGCCATTGTTGTGCCTCTGCAATGTCTGCATTGAATTTGACGGGTCAGCAAACGGAGCACCATAAACAGTTGGTGAGATTGTCTGTGGTTGGGGCAGCATCAAGTAAATATCAGTCACATACCCTCCATTATTCTTCTTCCTGCAAGGAAGAACGCTTCTCTTGAGCGTTGTCTCGCTGTGGGGTATGAATTCGTGCTACTTTGAGAGTCAACCTTCTTCTGGCGCATCTGGTGGGAGAAGGGCGGTGTATATGGGAAGGGCCAAGCGATGATGGAAGCACCTGATGTGGGATTAGTTCATGCATACATATGTGCAGGTCACACCAGCTTCAGCAGCATGATAGAGACTTCCAGATTGGGTGGTCTGTCGTCCTGTAGCGACATTGAACAATTCTTGAGGGAATGTCTTCTGAAGAGAGACAAAAAATAATTCTTAGGGAAGTCGTCCGGTCGCAACTCGAAATAATTCCTGATAGGTTTTCAAGGGAAAATCATCATGTTTATGATCATGAATTGGCCACCTGCTGGTTTGTCTGTGCCCGCGGGTGGTCCGTCCTCTGGAAATCACGCTCTTGCATACGCCAACAGTTGTCAGCTAAGGGGACGGGAGGGAACTGAGTGAGGTGTGAGGAAGAGGGTCAGTTCCAACTGTCCATTCGCTTGTTAGAATTCATCTTCTGTATGTCATATATTTTTCTATTTTTGCAATTTTTTGGTAATTACGGTTTTGCTTTGGTTTGCTGTAGGACAGACATTCGTGTTGGTCCTAGGGAAGAAGAAAGGGGATCATCTTTTAAAAAAAAGGAGGGGGGGGTCACCTTCTCTACGTAGATGCCGAAGGCAGCACATAGGAGGTAGAGGATCCTTCAGATCTGGATGTGGCAGTGTGTAGCAGCAGTTCAAATCTAAGGGGACTGGGCCACAGAAAGGAGGTCAGTCCAACGAAGCTCGCAAAACTTCGTTTTTACAAACCAGGTCCAGTCTGGATTTGCTTTTCAAAAAAATATCTAATCAGATCCAAACTGGACCTGGTCTTCATGCAATCTTCTAAACTGCATCCAACCCAGAACTGGTGTTTTGAAAATTTTCCACCCGCCCCTGACCCGGCTGGGAATGCAAAAAAAAAGGTCAACTGCATCTCGCTCTGCGTTACGAAGGCTGGACCGTCACCCTACTCCGAAACTCCTCATCTTCCATATATGACCACTAACTGCAGTCTGATGCGGTGTCATTAGGGCCGCTTGGGCAAAGATACATCTCTCTCCTGTATCGTTCAGATGCCTCTTCTCATTTCCTTGTCTTCACATTCGGTGGCTTTGTGCACCTAGGGAGAGAGAGAGAGAGAGAGAGAGAGAGAGAGAGAGAGAGAGAGAGAGAGAGAGAGAGAGAGAGAGAGGACACCAGAATGGAGGGAAAGTGCAAAAACATATGAGCTCGCAAAGCCGAAGTGCGGAACTATGGGAAGCATCTGAGATAGTGACTTGGGATGAGACAAGTGGTGAAAAGTGAACACATATAGACAGCCAATTGCTGCCACTTTAGCAGTGTATAACCTGAGTGAAAGGACATGAGAAGGGTGATCTGCAGGCACATGTACATCTCCAGTGAAATGTAATGCCTCGTGTGTCAGTGCTCACTATCTATTAATGTAGCAAAGTCACATTTCAAATTGTCGAATCCACCATGTTCCTTAACTTTGTCATACAATTATTCATACATTCATTTATAGAAGTCCATCAAAAGAGAATGATCTGACTGCCAAACTCAGGCTAAAAGATGAACAGCCATTCGGAGGACTCTGCTATTAATCATTTACTTGTTTTCCTCCACAGAGGGACAAAAGGAAGAAAACAAAAGAGCACAAACACAAAGGGCATGATCAAAACAATTCCCATATCCTCCTCCTCACTTCTCCTTCTACCCCAACAAAACAGCTCTCTAGCCATGTCATTTTCCGGGCCCTCGTCCCCCACCTGCTCTCTTCAGCATCTTCCTCACTGAAACTCGTCAGTAACCATGGAATCTTCCATAGCCTTCTCATTTCTGCACCTCATCCCTCCTCATTTGCTGCCCTCTAGATACCACACTCCCACCTTTCATGGCCATGATCTGCACACATGGGCAGCCATCCAGAGATCCTGGGTGATGGTCTGATAACAGACATCTGGAGTTCTGCCTGAAATCAAGACAAAGTCTGAAAAACAAAAATGTTCTGAAATTTGGATTTTGTGAACCAAAAAGGCAAAAAGCACCTGGGAAAAGGTTGTGTAGTATTGTGATCTCAACAACTTTGGTTGATTGTCACTTACAAACTTCAACCTAAAACAAACAAACAAAACAAACAAACAGAAAACAAACCAACAAACAAACCAACAAACAAACAAACAAACAAACTAACCAACAAACCAACAAACCAACAAACCAACCAACAAACCAACCAACAAACCAACCAACAAGCCAACCAACAAGCCAACCAACAAAAAAAACCAACAAAACAAACCAACAAAACAAACCAACAAAACAACCCACCAAACAAACCAACCAAGTTGAACCAACCAACCAACCAACCAAACAAACAAACAAACAAACAAACAAACAAACAAACAAACAAACAAACAAACAAACAAACAAACAAACAAACAAACAAACAAACAAACACACACACTAACACACTAACACACTAACACACTAACTAACTGTCTAACTAACTAAATAACAAACCAACAAACCAACCAACAGCAACAAAACAAACCAACAAACAAACCAACCAAGTTGAACCAACCAAGTTGAACCAACCAACCAACCAACCAAACAAATAAACAAACAAACAAACAAACAAACAAACAAACAAACAAACAAACAAACTAACAAACTAAGGGAATACTCGCACGCATTTTCATAAAACCGTAAATTCCAGCTGATTTTTTGGGTAACAAGGGCTACGTATTTTGCGTTTTCACGCAAATGGGCACGTAAATGTCAGCGGCTTGGACAGCTGCGGGGTTACGTATTTTGCGGGAATCTTTCGAGTTCCCCGCAATTGCGTATTTTGTTCAGACCTGTTTCTTTCTGGAAACAAAAAGAAAGAATTTGACGTTTGGTGGGCAACAGTCGTAAGAACAGAAAAAAAAAAAAACAGGAAAAAGGGATGGATTTTTATGCATCGTGCTGTGTGACCCCTCGGCCCGTATAATCGCATTCCTAGAGCAGGTCGAGACTGTCCTTTCTGTTTTGTGACATATACGGGTGTGCTGTGTGACTGGTAAGTGCCGTATAATCGCAAATTGGCTCACATATAATTTGTGATTGTACGTGCTAGTGTGAGTATGCCCTAACTAACTGACTAACTAACTGACTAACTAACAAACCAACAAACCAACAAACCAACCAAAACCAAACCAGAACTAAACAAAACAAAACAAAGAGTGCACTGAGCCTCACTGCTCCGACACCTTGAGCACACACACACATTGAGAGATCACACGAAGTCCACACTGGAGACCAGAGATGCAGAGTCCAGATATGTGCAGCTTAGAAATTCCAACAAATTATCACATTAAACAGTTCCGGGGATCCAGTCACCAAGCGCTCAACAGCGCAGAATTCAGCAACCCAATACCAGTATTCTCATCTAAGGTAGGCGACTCTCTTCTCACCCTGGCTCACTCTCTCTTTCTCTCTCTCTGTCCCTCCTGGTCTTCTTCATGCTCTCTCTCTCTCTCTCTCTCTCTCTCTCTCTCTCTCTCTCTCTCTCTCTCTCTCTC